ACGACAACTAACAGAACTGGCGAATTGACTAGCTGGATTACAAGCGACTATAACCATGGTGCAATAAAATCGACACAGATCACCGGTTAGGCGAAGATCCCTTTTGAGACAACATTCGCCGCCGCCTAAAAAAGCTACTGGAATCTGCCAATACCACCGAAAATACGGTTCAAAAGCTTAACGTTGCACACGATCATGAAAGTTTACTCCAAACAACAACGAGAATTCGGGAAACGGGCCAGTCAGACAGTAGTGGCGGCGCCTGTTACTGACCGCCTTTTTCACATCCCGGATCGTATTTCTGGCTCGGACATTTTAGTCGACAAAGGAGCAGAAATCAGCATTGTCCCACTTCAGCTCTCACGACGACGGCACAGTAAGAGTAGTAAGCTGTCACTCATGGCGGCCAACGAAACAATCATCAAAAATTATGCAGAACAATCGCTCATCTTAGACCTCAGACTCCGAAGAAGATTCACGTGGGTGTTAATGGTTGCTCAAATCAAACAATTTGTTCCTTAGCGCCTACGATTTATTAGTAGATATGAATAAAAAGAAGCTAATCGACAAGAACACATGTCTACAGGTTAATTGTACAATTAATATCAACTACGAAATTCACGGTGTTCGAATGATAAAACCAGTTAATAAAAATTTCACCGACATTTTGTCAAAGTACGAGTGCATCATAAGAGTTGATTATCAAATGGAATGCACCGAACACCGAGTACAACACCACATCACCACTACCAGTTCATCCATATGCACTAAGTCGAGGAGACTACCTCCACACAAATAACAATCCTCTAGGAGATAATTTGAACATTTGATGCAACTCGGTATCATCAGGCAGTCCAGCGGCCCGTGAGCCTCACCTTTACACATGGTTCCCAAGAAAGATCAGGACTAGCGCTCGCGCGGAGATTATCGACGCCTAAGTAATCGAACCATCCCAAACAGATACCCGATCCCACATCGACAGGACTTCTCACTAAACCTATATGACAACCAATTTTTTTTCGAAACTTGATCTTGTAAGAGCATATCATCAAATTTTGATGGCACCAGAAGATATTGAAAAATCAGCTATTATTACAAATTTTGTTTTGTTTGAGTTCTTAATGATCCCATCTGGACTAAAAAATGCCGCTCAGACTTTTCGGCGGTTTGTGGACGTGGTTATTAGAGGTTTGAATTTCATGTTTTTTTACATTGATGACGCTTTAATCGACAGCTCATATATTAAAGAACACGTACAACAACAAAGCATGGTGTCGTGATTAATTCCCTTAAGTGTATATTCAGCGAACTAGCGCTACACTTTCTGGGACATCACACACATTCTCAGGGAATCAAACCACTATAAGTAAAAGTGGAAGCCATAGCCAACTACCCTGAGCCGAGGTCAATAAAATCATTACGTCGATTTCTTGGGATGTGTAACGTTAATCGACGTTTCCTACCTACCTGAGCACATATGTTGTCACACTTAACAAATTTGTTGAAGCTGGATAATGGAAAAGCCCGAATACTTAATCCACAAGCCATCTTATTTTATACACGGACGAATCTCAAAAAGCCGTAGGGGCAGTATTACAAGAACGAGTCAACAACATCGTTACACGCGTAGTATACTTCTCCAAACGATTGTCAACAGCACAGGAGCGTTATATCACTTTCGGGTGGGAGTTACTATCTTTTTATTTAGCAGTAAAGAATTTCGACCTCCTGTAACAAGGACGAGAGTTTACTATAATGATAGATCATAAACCCCTATGTTACTCTCTTAACAAGTCATATGATAGACATTCTCCACGTGAAGCCAGACGACTGGACTATATTTCACAATTCACCATAGACGTCCAGTTTATCAAAAGAAATTTGAACGATACCGCAGACTCATTATCAAGAAAGGACATCAACACCCTGGTACAGAAACACGACATCAGTTTTGAAACTACAGCAAAATTACAAGTAGAAGATGCAGACCTAAAAGCCTGAGAAGAAAATTCTAATGTGATCCTCAAGCCTGTACCTACTGCTTTCTCAGACTGAACTATAATTTGTGACATTTCAGCTGGCAGTAACATCCTTTGCACCAAAGGCTTGTTGACGACAGATATTACAAAAGTCACACGAACTTTCACATCCGGGAATCCAAGCCACCACAACACCCATCACAGAACATTTCGTTTGGCCTAAAATGAACTTGGAGGTAAAAAGTTGGACAGGAAGCTGCCTACAATGTCAACTGAGCGAAATTCAGAGATACACCATTAGTCCTCTTGTAAAGTTTCCACTGCCCGATAAACGCTTTCAATATATTCATTTAGACATAGTTGGTCCCCTGCCACCATCAAACTCTTGCATGCATATTCCTACAGTGGTGGACAGGTTCGTAAGATGGATGACAGCATGCCATATCACAGATACGTCCGCAGAAACAGTTGCAGCCGTATTCCCCGATCTATGGATATCAAACTACGAACTACCTTCAATCGTTACTACAGATCGTGGTTCCTAGTTTTAATCTATCCTATTCCGGGAAATTACCAGACGTCTGGGAGTGGAACACATCAAAACAACAGCCTATCATCCAGTAGCTAATGGTCTGGTTGAAATATTTCACCGCCAGTTAACAAGCCCTCTTATGGCACAGGCTGATACATCAAAGTGGAGTGAAGCATTATAACTCGTACCACTAGGAATTCGTTCAACTGTCAAAGAGGATATAGAGCTTGGTATCAAGGCAGCCCTGATGTCAAGAAACACTACGATTGTTGGCCTGTGATAAGTATGACGGGGCTCTGACATTTGCTAGAGGGTAAAGATATGATAAATACATCCTCAATCAGAACGAAAGCCAGCCTGCTCCTAGTGGCTCAAACTTTCTCGGGTGTCGAACAATTGTTTGGAAGCAATAGAAGGTAGACTTATCCACCGATAGTTCTTGCATATATGAAGCAAACCTTTTTAAAGCTGGAGACAACTATCGACTCATTCCATGATGCTAGAAAACTCTCTAACTCCAAAACCATTGCGAACTACGCAGTCGATTCCTTAACCAGAAGGCATTCACAACCTCTAAAAGGGGTCTGAGGTAAGTCATATGGGCCCAGTGGTTCGTAGCGCTTTAAGAGTTGGAGTTCCTTGCTGAATCCCACTTCGTTCGATGAACCAGTCGTCACCGGCCATGGAGAGCAGGAAATTCTGACCGATGTTGCTGGAACAGAAGGCCAAGTTAATCTGCCCTTCGAAGAATTCTGCCTATCGTCCAAGATGTCGATGGATGTTAGTGATTGACACCCCGTCATCCTCACAGATTGTTTCGCTCACACCATACTTCTTGCTGCCAGTGGCTCGGATATGTTGAAAAAGCTCCCAACGGTTACCAGATGCAGCTGCTACTTCCATCTCATCAGTACGCTCCGACCAGCAAACTTGTCGCTACTTACGCAAGCTTTGTGCAATTTCATTACATAACAGTCGTCGTTTGTTGTCAAACACACGGTCTCCCGGAGAAGACTGTCGGGCCTCAGTCATTTGCAAGGGGCCAAAAGAAACCTGGCGCTTTTAAGTGGAAAGTTTCGCAAAGAAGAATGTGACTTTACTCGCCAGAAGTTGCAACCAATTTACTGATATCGATCCGTTTAAGACGATGAATTTATTGGCAACTGAAAAGTAAGGTAAGATTGGCGGAGACAAGGGCATTATCAGAGTCCAGATAGTTACTTCAAAAGGAGAGGCGTTAATTCAGGTGTTGTCAGTTTTATTTCGGGTTTATTCCTTACTTTGCGAAAGCGTTATCTCTACCTTTAATTTTTAGTGAAGAGTTTAGTTGGGAAAAAGGACACAAGGAAGTTCTCACGAGCAATTTGCAGTTTCCTAATGGTGATTGCTCACAAAGAACATTAATCCTGATAAATTGGTCTTCGGGAAAATCAGTTGAGCTTAGCTCTATATTATCTTCTCTAACAGGCATACCATTCTCATCGATGTGCATTTATATATTTACTACCTACCATGGGACAGGTTGCAATGACTGTACTATGTGATCACTTTCCAAACGCATCTTAGAATATTACCCGACTGGCTTTGAAAGGAGAATGGAAATCTGTCACCAGTTAAATACAGGATCACTTGAGTCACGTCTCTCCATAGGCGTTTTCCTTCAAAATAATCCATACAATAGAAGAAACTGGATCAAATGAAAACCGAACCGAAAATGTGTTCAATGTTCAGACTTTGGTGACCCACCAATTCGAAACAGTCATATTCGAAATTGTCAAAAATGTTTGTAATATCCGTTCAATATGAACTTGCGTGGGTACATTCAACTAAATAGAATATCAACTTTTACTGTAGACAATCATCTGCAGTTTGTCAAGATAGGCTGAATAAGAAGAATGGTTCAGCTAAATCCATATAGTCCTATATGAATCATTGAGTAGTTACATGACTATATTGTTATGTGGTGAATATGCATTTGGAACATGGAAGTCAATAAAATTTTCTGTGTACTTAATTACTATTTACTCTGGTAACAATTTTTGAACGCAACCTGACATATGAAAATTGCTTGATCGCAACTCGTAAATGATTCCTGGAAATTCTAAAACTCCTATTAACCACCAAGATGATCACAGAGTGTCTTGAGAAATAACAAACTGGCAACGACTGAAAATTTTGTATTCATTCAAGCAAGGTGTAAAAGCACAGTTGTGATAATTGAAAAAATAAGGTGAATTATTGGAAATTGAAAAAACGATTGCATAATAATGTGCTTGTTAATTGAGTGCATCAAAATTGGGCTAAAGTATTTTTTGCAGTATTCACGAAATTTTACTTGCTTGTAAGTGCAACATATCAACATTAGAACGACTCAAAGAAGAAGAAAAAGGTGAGTAACAGAACACTTGTTAAATCAGTTATCGAAACGATTTGCGAACGAAATTATTGAAATAATTCACAATGATTATCATCATCATTTTGAAACGTGACTTCGACAACTTTCGACCATCATCTAGACTAAATAAAATCATGCATGTAAATTTATTAGAATCATGCGAAAGAATCACAGTTATAAAGTGGTATCTGATTCGTGTAATCAATAACCGATAAGTTATATTATTTATCGTTTCAACTCAAATTAACACAATTCAATTTATTCATGAACTGAGTAAAACTGAAATAAAATTAATTGTAAATTATCGGATTTCAAAGTGTAACAGCCGAGCTTTTCACTTTATTGCATTCTAGTATTATCCTTGAATGTATTTACTGTTCAGTTGATATCTTCTAGTGATTATTCGAAGCTAATGGACACTTATTTGGATTGTGGCTTATAATGGAATTGAGGATGTGACTTCCATCCTATTTAGGACTGGTTATCAGGATGTATCTGTTGATATTCACGATGAGACGTCAACCGAATATGCTGATAGTCGCAAATAGGATCGACTTTTGTTTAACAGAGATACATCCATACGAAGTGGTTTGAGGTTTCTCTTTGTTAACGTAAAGACTTCAAGTGAAGAGTATCCGTTTTACATCGTTCCGCTATACACTTGCATCAATCAAAATCATTAGTGGATTCATTTTCCATACAATATATCACGGATAATTACACGAAAGTATTTAGTCGATGAAACAAATTTAATTGACTCACAATTCACACTTTTGTGTTTCGACGATTAACTTCATTGACAATATTTGTTAGAAGACGATGTTTCACTGAAATGTTTGCAAACAAACACTGATTAATTCATTTTGCGATGGAATAAACGATTGAATTTCACCAAATAATTTTGTGAAATATTTTATGATGCATTCAGTTCCAAAATGTGACATGTGTATTATTGAGTAGTACATTCAGGTGTTTCATTTTGGGTGGGTTATTTTGTGAGCGAATGCACGAATTTTGAATAACAACGTAAAATTTACATGAATATTACACGTTTTGTTAATAAACTGTGGTTGAGTAATACTTACGTAAATGTTTATTGTAATTCATTATCATTTTGCATCTGTACATAACTAATACAAGTAACTGGTTATTTTCTGGAAAATATGAAGGGATAATCATATATGAAAACTGGAAACATATTCAAATCTTCAACTTATAATCTATCATCTAACAACTAATAGACTCAATAAAACGGATTAAACAAAGTCTTATTCTCGATAACGTTTTCAAAAAGTTGAGAAATAGGGAGCTGATAAGAGTAAGGCTATATGGTCTGACAAATACACATGAAAGTGACTTGCCACTTTGATACAGTTTAGATATGAATAATTCAGCCTATCATTCTATGACAAAATGGTCAGTTCTGATTCTCAAACCGTTGAACAAAGAAACTGTGATGGATTATATCAAGAACTCCTTTGAATTTGTTGATAACATGAAAACTTTATCGGTAAAAATTTAACTACCTGATATAATTAGATATCGGGAATTGGAATTATACATGAAAACAATGAATAAGAACTGGAAAGTGTTGTAAAGGATTTCTTAGAACAAAGTTTTATGTAGAACACTGGTAAGTGATTTATTCTCCTCCATCATGTGTAACAGGAGTAAGTAAGTAGGTAAGAAATGTTCACAAACCAGACATTTCCATCCAAAAGATGTTTTCACAATCACATTACGTACCTTGGATAGTGGTATAAGAGTGTGTTCTTAGGTGCGCTTTGATCAAATCCTTTCTTTTAAAAACATTTTAACGACTTTCTAACCTCTTTCAGATTTTTTCCACGTATTCTCATCGTCCGTTTTTGATGCTTACATAGCTACTCTAACACCGGCATTTCATAAAATGAATTTGTTAGCTCTTTCATTGTAGCAATTGTTTAATTTTTGGAATAATTACACAGATTTTTGACATCTATTCCTTCCAGTTACTCAATATTATTTGAAAATGAATGTAACACTATATAATTGTTACGTAAATCAACTACATGATGAGTATTAGTTCATTCTTGTACGTAATACATACACACTACTGTAGAGTCAGCGTGAAAAATTAATTGATTATAAACTTCTTCACTCCTTCCAATCCTTTCACTGAGCCTATCATATGTTCACAATTGTGAATAACTGAGAACAAATAAGAATACTTTTTATGCTTATAATCTGTAAGTCATTTAACGGTGCGACTTATCAATAGATTTATGAGTCTACCATTTTCGGGATGAATGCGTTTTTTCTTTCAAGATTTCGGAAACATACAGAGAAGGCTTGTAGTTTGAATGTAATTCACCTGATTAATGTAATGCGTGCAATTTAATAAACCGGAAGTCTGTTAATAACTGTTGTTTAGTTCCTATCGTTTAAGTAAAATTTACTTGAATAGAAATAACAGTTAATTGTTGCAAGTAGTTTTATGTGTACGTTATGATAGAAACCTTGGGTATACAATGTGTAACACAAATCAAGTGTGATTCAATTCAGCTTACCATAGACACTATGCGGTTTAGGTTCTGTACAACCTTTATCTGTTAATATTGTTTAATTAGAAAATTTTATATTGAAGTTCACTATTTCGCACATGTTGCTCAAAAATGTTCCGTAGAAAAGAAATGGTCATCAGTTGCAGACAGTCAGATTCAACTAACTTTTATGTAAATGAAAATTCACGTTTTTAAAGTGCAAACAGGATCAAATCATCAAATCCTGTCACTTCATACTGAAAAGGAATCTAATAATTTCCATAACACCTCTTATCATTCATAATAAAACGCGAATCATCTCAGAATTCAGTCGCGTGAAATATTCATGTTTATAAGCAACTGATAAATTAGCAATAGGTTCAGAGTTTTCAAACTCACACTAGTTTTATGCTTCTCCGTTAAAATTAATCCTTTAATGCACAACATCAATATCAACGTTTTCTTGAATTTTTTTTTGGATAAAGACGCTTCACAGCACTATAATGTGTTAGTTTAAATATTTCATGCACAAATATACTGCCATCTTTCAAACTATAATACTATCAACTGATTATACTGTTGAGTTACGTCAACAGGTTAATTAACGGGATCACATGCTTTTCCATCACTCTGACATCTATCAAGTTATCATTTGGGATGAAATGACTGTTGACCAGTCGCACTATACAAATTACTCAGAAATCGTCTGTCGTTCGATTCTTATTCATACTTTAACTAGTGGAAATACTACTGACTGAAAGTAGTACAGTCAGATGTTATCCAGAATACTAGAAACTGAGTATATTATGTGTACTCATGAAACATTATGTTCATATTTTCATAATCAAATATTGAATTTACACCCCGAGTTCACAGGATTTTCGGTGCAGTATGTGTATTGATTGTGAGGGCTATCCATATCTTAATCAAACAATCTGGTTGTTCACAACTCCTATAATGAATTTCGAAATGGTGAGAAGCGAGTTGATTTCATGACCTTTGATTTATGTATACTTAATCACTCAACCAACAGACACAATGGATGTCTGAGAGTCACATGAAATTCTGAGGAATAAAGTTCCAAGAAGCTAAAATCAATAATTTTCTAACATGTCGTCAGGTCATCTCATTTCGAAAACAGAGGAACAAGAGAATTACGACATTTAACTTAAAATAGTTATGAATACCAACTCTTACTAAGATATTCGCGTGTTGCATTTTTGATGCACTGGTGTAAAGTTGAAGATTCCTGGACTGCTATATCTACATATACAGGAATCAATTAATAAATAGACTTCAAATAAAGTCATGTACAAAGTTACGTAGATATCATTCTCTATGAAAACTGACTTCGCCATCACGATATATCAGACTGAAAGTAGATTCCATTCAACATTAATAAGTTTATACATTGCTTCAATATGGAATAAATAAACTGAAATATATAACAAACTTTGATCAAACAATTGTCCTCAATAATACAAATTAATGAAGTAATTTAAATACATACCGTAAAAGTTTATGTGGGTTATTAGGCTGTCAATCTCTAAAATATTTCAAAAAAATCAATCACAATTGTATACGGAGAAAGTGTGTTTGTTTCTACTCAAAATATCCGTTTTGTCAACCTCTCAATTTACTACAATAGATTTTCATCTAGTTTTGAAATTTATCCAACAGTGGAATCTGGGATACGTGAACTGACTCATTTAGGACTCGTCATCTGGATGTCCCTTCGTTTCAATGCTAACGTTGACACTTAGACTCTGACTACATACTTGTTGTCAGATGAAGTAGACAGATAACTTACAATTGTCATCTGACAGCATACATTATTATTGTTCAATCATCAAATGATAACGAACAGTGTTCTTCGGAAATGTACATACATCTCTACTGTATAATCATTCAAATAATCAACTTATTGAATTCATTGTGAAATGCTAGTTCTATCTCCATCAAACGATGAATGAACTCAACAAAAGTCTCCCATTTAATAAATGCTAATAAGATGAGAAATACAATCATTCTGGAACAATAGGAATTTATTCACTTCGCCCAGTTTACGCATCACTTCATAGTTTAAAACAGTAGTACTATTTATTCGATATGTGAGGATGTAAACTTAATATCACATTTACGGAATAGCAAGTCAGAGATGATAAAAAGTGTGGGTTAGTAAACGGGATCCAATGTGGAAGAACTTTATGGATTGTTAATGTAGTGGTCATTCATGTGGTGATTGTATATGAATATTCTAACATGGGACGTGTTGGAAGCACTCTAACACAAGTTATGTTTGGCAACGAAAATTTGACGTTATAGATTAGGTACTTCCTTCTAATAAAATTTTGGCTTGAACAGGAAAGAGGGTTTGAGAGTAATTTTGTTAAATGTTAAGACAGTGATGAATCAGTTTTCAAGGGAATTACTCATTCTTAAACTATGTTGTACGATAAGTATACGTTAAAATTGCAAACCAGTTGTTCATAGAAAGCAATCCTTCATTTTATCAAAAGTAATACAGAATATTTGAAAATACGTTCACAAACCATCTTGAAATCTATTTCTCAAAGACAGTTTAAACATAAATTCTAAGC